TTTCTCTGAGCTGGTGTTTTACAGAGCGGTTATGATCCATTGTTTAGTTCTTGCTGTTTTGACATAGTTTCCTCCGGAGGCATTGTATAGAAGATGTATACTTATCGAGTATGTGGTCTTTGAACTCATCAGTGTCATGCCTTCAGTATGTTTTATATTAAACTCTGTGTGATAAATAGAGCAGCGAAAGGCTTCAACTCTGCGTGGGCCTTCTGATACCTGATGCCGAAGCACAACGTGTGTCGAACTGCAGAAACTGGAAAATGAGCACAAGACGTAGGCAGCCAGCTGACAAAGCTATAGCTTACACAAGAAACCCCCTCAGTGAGTAAATAGCATCAAGTGGTGAGAGGTCACAGAGTTTAGGCACGCTGTAGCCCCGCAGTTTTTATCGTAATCTTTTGATGTCAGTGTTTTCTTTCCATGTGCTTAATTCAAGTACAATTTATCATCATACACAGTTCAATTTATAAACCTCAAGATTTGACTTCTTGAAATACTTGATTTGACTCAGTTGTTTCTTAGTTCAAGAATCTTACCAAGTAAAAGTTTCTTACTCCACTGGCAGATATTTTGACTTAATTTGAGTCAAATTTTCAGACTAACAAGACAAATAATCTTACACATTCTGAAAACAAGATTATTATTCTTACACAACCAGTTCTTGTTTAGTAAATCAGTCTCAAAACAAGATCAAAAAGACTTTTTGGCTGATATAAGATTTTAAAACTTGGTAAGATGGACAGTTTTTGCAGTGCAGAACCGAATTTATGAGTTTCATTTTGTTGTTTTAGTCATATACAGGCTGTTTGAGAAATACTTAATGAGAAATACACACAATACAATACTCAGGTGCATAAATGTCAAAATACCAAGCCAATTTATAATTATGTATTACTTTTAAAAGCTTTATGTGGGATTTTTAAGTGCAGGATCATTTCGGGTAGCATATCTCCCACCATGACCATTTGCGCCTCTGTATCCTCCTACCTGCACCTTGCTCCGTCTCAGTACACTGGTACTTGGTAAGATTCTTGAAATAAGTATTTCAATATTCTTTCCAAGCAAAATTTTCTTACTCCATTGGCAGAAAGTTTTGACTTAATTTGAGTCAAATTTTCAGGCTAACAAGACAAATAATCTTACACATTCTGAAAACAAGATGATTATTCTTACACAATCAGTTCTTGTTTAGTAAATCAGTCTCAAAACAAGATCAAAAAGACTTTTTGGCTGATATAAGGTTTTAAAACTTGGTAAGATGGACAGTTATTGCAGTGTAGCAGTCCTGTGTCCTTATGTTAGGGGCCCAATTGAACTTGATCAAAGGTCCTACAATATTGAGAAAGAGCAGGTTAGAGATGATTTGTAGAGAAGCTTGGTTTGGGGTGCAAATCAGAGTCATCTGGGAAAAATGTTCACATTCTGCGCTTGATATTGGGATGGCATTCACAACTGTCAATAGTTCTTTCAATTAATCATCAATGCATTTTCACTGCTAAAACTACCTTATATTTAGTTCTTTATCACTTGCTTTTGCTTCAGTAAGCGTAGTGCCTATAAGGAGTTGCTCTCAGTCCCTGGCTGTGTCCATATTCAGGGGCTGCATCCTTGGAAGGACCTGGCCTATCCGGTCCAGGTGGGCCAAGTCTTTGGTAGAAAGTGGCTTTCAACTTGGATGGTCTAGCATTTTTCTTATTCTGCCTTTACCCCGGCATATATCCTGGCAACCATGAGGATGCTAAAGAGAAGCAAAAATAGATAGCAAAATATCAATATGTTAGTATTATTAATTTTATAAAATAGCAAAATTAGCTTAAAGGCAATATTTGAAGAATGGACCCACTGTATGAGCATGCTTTTTTTGCTATGCCAGCTAATTTGAATTCTGTCAAGAATAATAATAAAAAAACATGTCTGTGCAAATGGCAAAAGCATTTACAACACAACCGCTTTAAAACAGCAGATTTTTTATTTAAAACGGTACATTTTCTCTTGCTTTGTCAGACATTACAAGCAGAAAAAAAATCTCTGGTCACCCCAACAATGCGTCATGGGCTAGGCTGGGCTAAGGCCACTCAAGACCCGTCCCTCAAATCAGGGAAAAAGGAGGATTTATGGGCTGCATCAGAGGAATATTTAAGTTTGGACAGCCTCTGGCACGGTGCAGTGATGTAAGCGGTCGACAAATTCAGCTTTGAATTTGATTTTGAATTTGATGCCTGAAACACATTCCAAAAAAAGCTGGGTCAGGGTCATGTTTACCACTGTGTTACATCACCTTTCCTTCTAAGAACACTCAATAAGTGTTTAGGAACTGAGGACACTGTTGAAGCTTTGTAGGTGGAATTATTTCCCATTCATGCTTGATGTACAACTTTAAATGCTCAACACTACAGGGTCTTTGTTGTATTTTGAGCTTCATAATGCACCACACATTTTCAATGGGAGACAGGTCTGGACTGCAGGCCGGACAGTCTAGTACTCACAATCTTTTACTACAAAGACACGCTGTTGGAACACTTGCAGAATGTGGCTTGGCATTGTCCAGCTGAAAGAAGTAAAAGATGTGGCTTGGATGGCAGCATATGTTGCTCCAAAACATGTAGGTACCTTCAGGCATGAATGGTGAAATTTACACATGCCATGGGCACTAACACACACCCATACCATCAGAATAAGAATCAGAATCTTTATTGTCATTCACACACAACATCAAGATGCAGTGCGGAACAAAATTTTCGGTTTAGAACATCCGTCCGGAGAAACACACACACAACAAACATGGGGGAACGAATGTCCAGGGTCTTTCGCAACTTAGTGCGCTACCTTTGCAGTTTAGAATACACACACAATAGGAAGGGTGAGTTAAAAAAGAGCTTTGACCTGTGTTTTATATAGAAAAACACACAAACACAGGCTCAAAAAAACTATGTTGCGACAGCACAGTTAGCTAAGGAGGGGAGGGGGTGGGGTGGGGGTGGGGGTCAAAACACATGGTATGGGGGAGGGATGCAGCGGAGCCGGTGACATCCAGGGTAGAACTCCGTGTTGAAACCGATCAGAAGACCTCAAGAGTCCAGACAAGTTACTGTATCTGTCAAAGCACAAGTCACTAGAGTTTAGTTCTCTGTCTCCACCTAACACAGCCTTCAGACTGATCTGAGCACAGATGGAACACTTGGGGRTGGGGGGGGGGGGGGTCAAGGCTTCCTTCATGTCATTCCAGGGAGGTTTTATCAGCTTGCAACCAAGGTCTCAGCTGCAGGGATCTGATGATAAACATAATTGTTATTTAGGGCAAAGCAGGCTGATTTTCTCTGCTTTGAGTCTTAACTGCACCTCTGTGTTGCGAAAAATGCCAATATTCCAGATTCGTTTACCACCTCGCCTCTCCCTTATGAAACTTCACCCAGATGTAGCCTCACTCCTCTCGGGCACGCTGCTGAACTGTAATCATCAGAACCACATCCAGTCTGCGACTTATATCCCCCAGCATTTGAGTCTGTGTGTTTGTAGTACGGGAGATTCCATCCACGGTCCCTGACAGCTTTTCATAGGCCCGGACTGTTGTCAGGATAGTTTTCATTTTCCGAAAAACCAGGACTCCTCCACAGCCGATCAGCAGGAATCCGATTATCATAAATCCGAATATAAACACATCTTCAACATCCTCAATGGAGAGCGGGGCCAGGCAGATTAGATTCCACCCCCAAGACCCAGAAACTCTGCCCGCCGCGACAGTTCCACTGGGACAGCTGCGCTCCCCTCCCTCCAATCTCAGTGTGGAAAAAATTGTGTTGATTGCATTCAGAGACCAGATCCATAATACTTTTGGTGTTGAATGATAGGTAGAAGAAAGGCTTAACCCAGCTGCGAAGCAGGGAAAAAGGGACAGGTTCGGGAGTGAGAACAAAGAGCGTCCGACTCCTCTGAAGGCCAAGCAGAAAAAACTGAGATGCTGGCTTTTGAACTTTGGGCTGATAACAAACCAAACAGTCCTTTTCCTCTTTGGCCCAGAGGACATGTCATCCATGATTTCCACAAATAATTTGAAATGTGGACTCATCAGACCACAGGACACTTTTCCACTTTGCATCAGTCCATCTCAAATGAGCCTGGGGCCAGAGAAGCTAGTGGTGTTTCTGGGTGTTGTTGATATCTGGCTTTGGCTTTGCATGGTACAGTTTCAACAGCTGTAGATGTAGTGATGAACTGTGTTCACTGACACTGGTTTTCTGAAGCGTTCCTGAGCTCATGTGGTAATATCTGTTAGAATGATGTTGGTTTTTAATGCAGAGCCACCTGAGGAATGGAAGGTCACATCTTTTAACCATAATTTATCCAGATTCTCTGGACCTGTTGATGATATTATGGACTGTAGATAATGAAATCCCTAAATTCCTTGCAATTGTACGTTGAGAAACATTGTTCTTAAACTGTTGGGATATTTGCTGATGCATCCTTGCTTGTGAACGACTGAGTCTTTTGAGGATGTTCCCTTTATACCCAATCATGACACTCAGCTGTTTCCAATTTTCAACTGTGGAATGCTCCAAACAGGTGTTTTATTGAGCGTTCTTCAACTTTCTTAGTCTTTTGTTGCCCCTGTCTCAGTTTTTTGGGAACGTATTGCAGACATCGCAAATATTTGCAAAAAACAATAAAATTTATCTGTTTGAATATTTAAAAAGCTTGTCTTTGTGGTGTATTCAAATGGAGAAAGGTTGAAAGGATTTACAAATCATCGTATTCTGTTTTATACAACATCCCAACTTCATTGAAATTGGGGTTGTACTCCCCAACAGATTCTGGTTTTACAAACCCACAACCCTCCTGGAGAAGAAACAAAAAAAATTTTTTTTTAATTTGAGGGATTATAAATATTATTGAGGTCAAATATTAAAAAAAAACCCATAAAAGTTTCATGATATCTGTGGTTAATGTGGATTATTGTTTTTACATCATGCATTCTTGTGCTGTTTTTGTTTTTTCCACAGATCTGCATCTTGTTGATAGAAAGTCTTTGTGATGGCCAGCAGAGGGATGATGGTGGCCTCAGAACCCTCAGGAACGCCTGTTCCTCTCACACCTCTGTCACGCTGGTACCTTTACGCCATCCATGGCTACTTCTGTGAAGTAATGTTCACAGCAGCCTGGGAGTTTGTGGTTAACTGCAACTGGAAGTTTCCTGGCGTCACCAGCGTGTGGGCCCTCTTCATCTACGGCACCTGCATCCTCATCGTGGAGCAGATGTACCTGAAGCTGCGAGGCTGTTGCCCTGCTCTGCTGCGCTGCATCATCTACACGTTGTGGACCTACTTGTGGGAGTTCGGCACGGGGCTGCTTCTGCGCCAGTTCGACGCCTGCCCCTGGGACTACTCCGAGTTCCGCTACAACTTCATGGGCTTGATCACAGCCGAGTACGCCGTGCCGTGGTTCTGCGCCTCCTTCATCGTGGAGCGCTTTGTCATCCGCAAAACCCTGCGGCTGCGCTTCCACGAGGGGCCTGAGGACGGCTGGTCGAATCGTTGCTCAGATGTTGGAGGTGGAGGAGGCGCCGGAGGAACTCTGAAGGGAAGTAGGCAAAGCGAACGGAGCAGAGGAAATAATGCAAATGGATTCCTTAAGGTGGAATGAGTTGAGGAGCAGGCTCTATCACTCTGTCGTGTGTCTTTAATCCTCCGGCACTTTTCATATGCAGCTCACCATCCTCAGCGCATGGGTTGGAGACAAACGTCTGTAAAGAGTAGAAGAAGAAAATGAATGTCTTAACTACAGCGGCAGATGTCAACAAGACTCAGACTCTTCTGCTACGCAAACACTGTTTTTAATTCTTATTGCTGCATTTCATCAGACATCAACCCATTTCCCTTTGGGTTCTACCCCATGATTAGAGTCTTGAATGATTGTGATTTAACTTTGAATCCCCTTTATCCAGACTCATAAACTTGAGGTAAAAAAAACTTTTCCAAAGACGAAGTTTTTGTTTTAATTAGGAACCTAAAATAAGGTCATACTTCAGTGTTTTAATCATCACTCTCTATAAGAGAAAACTGCTTGTTTAAAAAATATGCTCCCATAAAGTAACAGCAGATGTGAAAAAGTCACTTTGATCTGTACGATGCTGTCATTTAGTACAACTGAAAACTGCAGTAATGTTGCTCAAATGCTTATTTAAATTCCCAGTGTTTAACATTTTGGGAAATGTTTTGTCAAAAAGCAATACAGGAGTTATCCTTTTTGTCTTATCAGTGTTAAATGAAAACCAGGATCACTATCTTTACTTTAAACCAGAACAAATTATGTATTTACAAAAACAGCATGAATTTCTCTCCACACTCAATTGTTAGTTCAGAATTACTGAAGTAACAAAAAAACAGGAATCATGTTGAGATTATTTTAAGTATACTTAGAGTCACTTTAGAAGGAATTTATTTAAATAAAAAAATACCTCTTCAGTTTTGCACCAAAACTGCAAGCACTTTGAGTTTTATCTATGATTTATTTATTCATTTTTTGTCTTTTAGGAACCAGTCGAACCATTTAATGGGGTTATGGAAGTGCCTACTGTGAATCAGTTTCCACACACTCAGCAAAATGTGCTGACAACTGATTCTTTGACCGTTTAACTGTCAACACGAAGGGTCACCATTGGCAGAGACAAGGGAATAATTACCGCACACCCAGCTGATGTGGAAATATTTCTGTTTATTCTCTGTTATAGAGGCCGTTCAGAGAATCACATGACCTTGATTTGACTGTGTTAGTGGACAGTTAAAATCACTCACTGTAGTCAGTTCCAGTTGAAAGTGCAAAATTTGTCACTTAAAGCAGATGTGGTAATTTTGTGTTACCAAAAGGCTGTACGTTTATCAAGTAATAATCCAGAACAAAGGTCTGAGTTTATTACAGCGACTATAGTCATACTTTCCAGAGGGTGATGCTACTTTGCAACACACATCTCAATCCCTTTGGTCCTGTCAAAGGACAAAGGCTTGTTTATGTCATATGTTTGGTATGCAAGAGGAAACCTTCACTTGAGATGACAAATAATTTTACATTCAAAGTGTAGGAAGTCACCTCCACACATCCGTTTTTCCCCCTGGAGAAACAGAGGTTGAGTAAACAATGTACTGCTCATTTTGGTCAACCACAGAACAATCTCTGCTATTGGGGTGAGGATTTGTAACGCCATCTTGGTAGGTGCTGTGTTATCGTCATTATGGCAGCAGACCACAGAGTTTTGAGGAATAACTCTAAACTCAATGTTTTGCCTTTGATTGTTATATTTATTGGAATCTGTATTAAAGAACACTGTGATTCATAGATGAAGATTAGAGGTATGTAGTAACTAAGTAGGAGTTCAATTTTAAAATGAAGTAAAAGTATAATTTTTAGGTTGGTAAAATTACAAATCCTTAAAAAATTGCTTAAGGACTGTAACAAAGTAAATAGTTACACCATTACAAATATATGACCGGTGTTACACCATATTTTGTGACCATCATATATTGTGACCAGAGGGGGCGCTGTTGTGTTTCTACAACAGAACTTGGCCGAACATGGCCACAAAGAAGAAAATGATACGCCGCCAACAGTGTAAGCTAGAGGCTGAAGACATACGAAGAAGAACAAACAAAAACTGTTGGCTGTTGTTATTATACATGGTCACAGAATATGACAGCTTTCATATATTGTGATTTCACTGTAGCTAAGGAAATAGTAAAACATTTTATTCAAAAACTATTTCAACTAATTGTTTACATCCTCTAGTGTCAGAAAAAATAACTTTTGTTCACTGACTTGGTGACTTTTATTAAATTAGTACAGGGTCACATAATATGATATCTATTATCATGTATAGTAGTAATAATAGAAGTAGTAGTAGTAATAGTCAACATGCCAGTGATCAGAAGTTATTTTTCTGACATTAGAGGATGTATGCAATGAGTAGAATCAGTTTATGAATAAATATTTTTATTATTTACCAAGCTACAGTGACGTCACATTGACAACAGTTGTCATATTTTGTGACCTCTGGGTTACACTGTTGGCGTATCATATTCTTCTTTGTGGCTATTTTCGGCCAAGTTCTGTTGTAGAAAAGCAACAGCGACCCCTCTGGTCACAATAAATGACGGTCACAAAATATGGTGTAACCTGAACTCATCATGAAAGCAGTCGTTTTCACTTTTAAAAAAATGACGAGTTGAATTTACTTAATCAGGTTATGTCAACTGGTTCCACTAAACCAAACTGAGTAAATGTAAAGCAGTTTACTCGGCCTGGCTTAGTGGAACCAGTTTGGTTCAATAATTTTTACACTTAATTTCTTAGAGTGCTAAAAGTACTGTTACTTTCCTGATTATTGTGAGCAGTTTTATGACTCTTAGTACTTTTTCTTATTAGTGAAATTAATTTTTTACCAAAATCATTTCCTGTTAAGGTATTTTACTTTACTTAGTTATTTCTTGTAAGTACTTTAAATACCTCTGATGAATATTATAATATATAAAATAAATGCCACATTGGCCCATAAATCTCTCAAAACAATACATATTTTTGTAGCTGTTGTGTGTCTTCATCATTTATATGCTTATTTTATTCCCTATTATGTTAAAACTTGTTCATAAATCAGAAAAAAAATCCTATTTTATGGCTAAAATCTCTATGCAAAATATTATTGAATTAGTGTTAGTGCATGGACAAATGTTCAGGTATAAATATAAAGAAAAGGACAACATTTTTGCCCTGTTAAATTAACTACAGACACTTGTATCAGAGCTTTAATTAGACTAAGTAGATGTATCATAATGCACGGTATTTTTTTAAACGTGATTAAAAGGAATGTGGGCCATGAAGCCAAAGGTAGCATGTCAGGTTAGCGTTTTGCTGCTGCTAATACCTGTTAGTGGCCAGCTTATTGTGCTTCTATTTCAGTGGCTGTGCCTAATATTACTACACACAGAACTCAACAAGTTGAAGACAAGACTTCCAAACAGCTCTGTGTGTCGACCATCCTAATCTGTTATAACCTTTAAGTTCCTCTCCTGTATAATGCTAAAATCTGATGCATTAACAGAAAGAAGTGACTTTCCATGTAAAAGTTAAAATAGTTAATATCTTACCTGTTGCAGATACTTTAGTGAACAGCTTCAGATAAAGAGAAACAGAGTTTACATCTCACAGGACTGACGAGCTAACGGCTAGTCTGATTTCAGCCAAGAAGTGGATTTTGTTGTCGCAAAAAAACACCAAAATTTTACTTCAGTGTCTGTAAGATTTCTAACACACCCGCCAGAATAACTATAATAAATAAACAGTTATGTAAAGTTAACATAACAGTGTTGAAATGAATCACTGTGATTTTTTTAAAATGTGTTATTTTAGTTTGTCAGTAATCCACTTTGGAAATGGGTCCATTTCTCATGATTTGCTCAATCATTTCAGTCTGAAATAAGCCTCTTTTAAAGCTCCTGTGACATCAGATTTTTTTTATAAGAAATATGAATGAATGTTTTGAAAGACATCATTAGTAACATATTGAAAAACAAAGTCACTTTGCAGAGATAAACAGGAGCAGCACGGTGGCTCAGTTGGTAGAGCTGCTGCCTCTCAGCAAGAAGGTTGCTGGATCAAATTCCAGCCCAGGACCTTTCTGGGTGAAGTTAATGTTCTCTCTGTGCATGCAGGGGTTTAGGTACTCTGGTTTCCCCCCACAGACCAAAAACATGACTGCTGGAATTGTCCCTAGGTGTGATGTACCTGTAACCTGCCCAGGGTGTACCCCGCCCCTCACAGTGTGACTGGATATAAGCACCAGTGATCCTGAAAGGAAGAAGCAGGTTAAGAAAATGAATGGATGGATGAGATAAAAACACTTGTTGAGATATTTGCATGTGAAGTAACAGGAAGTGATGTCAAAGGGAAATGTCTGCACCTGAGCAGAGTGTTGTTAAAATGGCCGACAACACTGAGGGTCGAGAAGCATCTGATGTTTCTTTAGACTATAAAAGTGAGCTGACGAATCAGGGTTCAAATAAAACTGTTTCAATAAACAAAGATCAGGGAGTTCCTTCTCTTAAAGAGTTCCTCTTTGATGTCACTTCCTGTTTTGTTTTGGCTGAGCCAAGTAAAAAAACAAAACAAAGCCATTTATGTGACAAAATGGGTAAAATTGTGTGTAATTTGCCAACTTCTTTAGGATATACAGTACATGTCACAGGCACTTTAAAGCATCTCACTGTTATTTAGACCTTTGTTAGGGTTGTGCTTCAAGAAACAACCATCAGGCAGGTTTGCTGTGTCCTGACAGTTCAAACAGCCTTTTTCTGAGCACAAAAAAAAGCAGATTTTAGTGTCAAATTTTGTTTTTTGAACAGAAATCACAGAGGGCAATCATCTAACATTAAGTGAAGTTTCCCAGCAGCACAGGCAAACATTGATCCTGTGATTCTTGATGCATGTTAATCAGCCTAACCTTTTTTTTTTTTGTTCTTATCGAGTTTTATTTCTGCTTTGTAACTACTTTATTATTTATTTATTACATCCAGGTGATGGAAACAATCGTTTCTGTTCAGGAACATTTCAAACGTGTGCTTCTTTCTAAAACAGGATTTTCATTTTTCTCCCAGCCGTTGTGGTTTGGGAATCAGATACTTTAAAAACTTTAACCTCCACTCAGAAAACTTTTCTGTCTGTGATTTCACCAAATAAAGACAGTTTTTCTTTTTTTTCCTTCTTTTTTTGCAAGTGATGAATAATCATAATAAACAAACAATGTTTGAAAAAAAAAAGAAAGCTCTTTCTTGATGATATTTGTTATTTTTGTCCAGCGAGTTCATATTGTCTGTCTGTCTGTTGCATGTATGAGGAGAACGACAGGAGCTGAGCTGGGCTGTTTGTTTTTATTGTTGGTTGGTGGTTTTCTCCTTCCAGCAGCATGTTGAAATGTCCTCGAGTCGGACGGTGAACCCCAAACTGCGCTCTGTCAGCAGGTCGTGTCCTTGCATGGTAGCTTGTCCACTGTCTCTGTATGAATGTGTCTGGGGGCACATGTGCATCTGTATGCAGAGAAAATGAAGGCGCTAAATAAAAGTATTTATATTCAGCATCAAATTGTGGACGTCTTTACTGTGAATGATTCTGATTCGATTCAACCATGAAGCCTCTTGGTGGTTTTATTTTTGACAAATAAAAAACAAATACCACTGTTATTCACTTTGTGTGTTTAAATGCTGTCTTTGGTAAAATTAGCAATTCTCATTTACTAGAAGTCAATAAAAGAATTTATGAAAAAGTTTAACAGAAATAAACATTTTATAAGAAGTATATCAATACGTAGAGACGTGTTGCTGAAAAGTTTTGACCACTGCACTGCAGTGTGGCCCAAACACCTACGTTTTCATGCTTATGTAGCAAAAAAACAAAAAATAAAACAGTTGTGAGAGTTTCGTCTGGAAAAAAATTTATTTCGGGCAGCACTCCACCTCCTCTGTCCGAGGCTGGTGTGGTGTGGGGCGGACAGAGCTCAGCCGAGGCTGCGGTAAAGAGCGCCGTGTCCTGAACCAGGGAGACAACATGAGTCAGTTGAGCTGACTTGAACAAGTCTCTCTCTGCCTCTGGTGAGGAGGGGGGTGAAAAATCCTCCACCTCAGACCGTTCAGAGATGTAACTATCTGCGTCGCTGTAGTCACTCTTCATGTAGCATCAATTATGCTAATGCTAGCTGTCACGTTCTCTCGTCCTGGCCACACCTCCACTCTCTAACCCCCCCTCCCCTACCCACTTTGATGCATTTTTCAAATTTCACCTTGGGGTGGAGTTATCTTTTCACAGGGGGGTAAGATACACTTTAAAGTGAGGCACATGCTTTTCGATCCTTTGTTTTCACATTTAAATATTTGCATGTGAAGTAACAGGAAGTGATGTCAAAGGGAAATATCTGCACATGAGCAGAGTGTTGTCAAAATGACAACACAGAGTGTAGAGAAAAATATGATGTTTCCTTAGACTATAAACGTGAGCTGAACAATCAGGGTTTAAATAATATTGTTTCAACAAACAAAGATCAGGGAGTTCCTTCTCTTAAAGAGTTCCCCTTTGATGTCACTTCCTGTTTTGTTTTGGCTGAACCAAGTAAAAAAAAGATATTTATGTGACAAAATAGGTTAAAAAAATGGGAACTGCAATTTTTTGGTCTGAATTTTAACTTTACCAGCCTCGTTTTGATGTGTCTCAAAGCAGCAGGTTTTGCTGCTGTTCCTTTAAGTTGCTTCAAGCCCCGCCCCCTCTGGCTTCCAGACCGGTCCACTCCAGTTTGAGAGATGTGGTTACGTTTTCTAGCAGAAATTTGATTTACAAATTAATTAAAAGATGTCAACAACAGAAGACCTGTCCATCCAGCCTTACATGTTGGAACCAGAGTCTCAGAGCCAGAGGAGAATGAAGACAACCAAATATAGTCGGTAAGTTCAGACCTTATTTGGCAGTTCTGTTGCAAATAATTTGATGTAATAGTTCCGAAAACGTCATAGAAAATAAAGAAAACTGAATGGGCTGAAAAATATGACCCAAACAGTACATAAAGATATCTACGCAGCATGACGCTGAATTCTACTTGTGCGAGCTCCACACCACAGCTGTGTCAGTGAAATCACACTGATCCCCTCTTTGACTGTTTTTTTAAGTAAACTGCATCTACGTTCTGTGACGAATTGCTAAAGTCATAGCCCATTGAGATGTTTTTTTATGTTCAGTTTGCATATTTCAAAGCTTTTCAACAAAAATCAACAATTTAAACAAAATTGTAATAAGAGTTGCTTCATTACTAATACAGTGATGCCCTGACATTTAACAATAAAAACATTATTAGAAAGGATCTTCTTTTGGCTTTTCCCTCATTATCATTTTAATAAAATGATAATGTACATGAAAGAAACAAAGATGAAAACATGAGATGACTATATTTGAGTCAGTGAATGTGGTGCTTTACTGTACTATAAAACATCTGTTTAAATTGATTCCATTGTGAATATTAGATGCTCATTTTCCATTATATATATGTATGTATATATACAGTATGTATGTATGTATATATATATATATA